TGAAAGATTAAGGCTCCGCTCTTATCTGTTTGATAGATGGATTTATGAAAGATTAAGGAGAGAAGAGCAGAGTGTTTGATAGATGGATTTATGAAAGATTTGGGAGAGAAGAGCGGCGCTGCTGGTAAAGAGACAGATGGATAAACAGTGTGGTCAGAGTGAGTATACAACAAAATAATGAAAATAGTTGGAACTGTGGTCTAAGATAAGAACGTTACTTCAGAAGATACATTTAAAAAGTTAGTGAATTTGAGGTTGGAAACGGTCAGCTTAGAAAGGACAAGTGTTTCCTTGACAGTAAGATATTTAAGGCCAGAGCATAAAAAACGTGACTCATTTAGCTGCGTTATCATACGAAACATGATTTGTTTATTGCTAGGTTCTCAAACAAAACGTGACTCGTTTTAGCTAGGTTATCAAAAGAAACATGACCCATTTAGCTGTGTTATCAAATGAAATATGACTCATTTAGTTGTATTATCATACGAAACATGACTCATTTGGCGCGTTAACGTACGAAACATGACTCATTTAGCTGTGTTATCAAACTCTGTTTTCTGTTTTTTAACTCGATGATTCTTACAAAAAATAGCAATGGTTTAAATGAAATGAACTGCGTCTTAAACACTATGCTCATTTCTAACGATCCTTTTTTAAACCGAAGAACACACTTCTGTACTTCTGGAATTCAGAGAACAACTGACACATTAATGTCGACTAATTCCTAAATTCAGAACCTTACCGTCACTGGATCACAGAGGATAGAAGATGGAATGTTGTTTTTTTTATTGTTTTCTAGAACTAAACCAAAGTGATAGAAGATCGCATCCGATTGGTCAGTTTAAAACTTTACAACGGCCCAAACGGAATCAACCAATCCTCAAGCCGGAAATTCACCAGCAGCCTGGTATTGACGACGCTTGCAGCGGAGTTACACAAGTAGGGTTTGTTGAAATATGCAGATCACACGTATACATGAAAAAAAATATATATATATAGAAGTTAATGTGTACCCAAATGTTACCGACTTGAGGTATTTAAATCGATAAAAAAAATCCAAGTATTTGTTTCTGTTGCAACATAATGTGCTTGAAATGATCTTAAAACGGACACCAAAAATATATGTTTCATATTTGTAGTATCGTCTGATATTCGGACTTGTTTGTCAATATCTAACACCTCTTGACACTCAGACAAGTTCAGACTTGTTTGTCAATATCTAACACATCTTGTCACTCAAACAAGTTGAAACTTGTTTGTCAATATCTAACACATCTTGTCACTCAAACAAGTTGAAACTTGTTTGTCAATATCTAACACCTCTTGTCACTCGGACATTTTTGGACTTGTTTGTCAATATCTAACACATCTTGTCACTCAGACATTTTTGGATATTTATGTAAGTTATTCAATAGATGATTACTGGTTTCTCGCAGAAATAAAATAAAAACAAAGCCGTGAATAAAAAAAAAACTGTTTAATTAATTTTTCTTTCTCAGGAGACAAAGATATAAATGTTTAACACTATACTATAGACAATATATGTTAGAGTCGTGACACTAATGACAGTCAGAGAGCGTCTTTTGGTTTTGGAATTTCAAAAAAATATTTATACGAAAAACTTTAAACTCTTAAATAATTAATTAAATAATTAATAATTATTTATAAATAATTAATCGTTAATATTTTTAAATCAGTGTTTATATTCAAAATCAATTAACTTGTTGAAAGATGTTTATATTATTTTTAAAATATACAGAATTTCACTAGTTTCAAAATAATATTATCCCGAATTCCCCCCTCCACCCTCCATCCCTTCTTTTGTCTCTCAAGTGTATTCTTGCTAGCGCAGAACAATGGGCGTTCAACACTTTTACGCTGGATGTGGTCACAGGAGGACGCCCTCTGTCGATATTATTGGTTCACTTATTCCAGGAGTATGGACTCATCAAGGACTTCCATCTGGATGTACTGAAAGTGTATAAATGCTTCAGTAAGTACAAATCACGGTTCTCCTATCTTGTTGGATAGTTAAGTTTGTGTACGAGTTTATTTTTCGATTGTTAAAATTTGTTTTGGATTTTTACTGATTACAAGAAAAGGTGGTTAACTAGTAAAAATATCTGATAACAAAACATCAAAGAAACATTGGTTAACTAGTAAAAATATGTGATAACAAAACATCAAAGAAACGGTAGTTAACTAGTAAAAATATCTGATAACAAAACATCAAAGAAACGGTAGTTAACTAGTAAAAATATCTGATAACAAAATATCAAAGAAACGGTGTTCAGCTTAAAATCTAAAGCGATATAATTATGAATTTTCCGGTTTATACTACAATATGTCTTGTTAGCGTGGTCTCTGTTGAACACTAATGCTGTAGCCTCTTTGTTCTACTGTTTTTCCGTTTGTGTGGTTGTTGTTGTTTCTCGTGGCTATAGGGAACGTCTCAATTGAGGTATAATGTCACCAACTCAGTCTTATGTGACTTGGAACAATTCTCATTAGATAATAATAATATGAAATAAATAAATAAAATAATAATAGCGTAATTGTAATGTACTTCTTGTCACGAGCTCGTTCATGCTGAAGATTAACAAGCACGTGCAGGATCATCATACTGGCAATGAAACCTAATGTGTATTTTATCTGCATTTGTAGAAGTGTAGATAATATTTATGGTTGTACCTTAACCTTTAATGCAATAAAAACGAAGCCTTTTAAGGAAGTCGTGTTTTTATGTGTAATCCAGTTAATTAATCCATAATAATTTTACAAGTACGCCACCTACGTAGTCTTCTATTTAATCTTGTTGACCGTAATCTAAAAATAGGCCTAGATGACATACATAAAAATTAGTTTTGTGTTTTTAGCGACTAAATACTCCCTCTATAAATATAATGTTTTGGTAGCCAATCAAATAACGTGTCCGGTGACTAGGTTTTGGTTTCTTTTTTAGCTTTAAGGACAACTAGTATTTAAGCTTGAACTTCTTGTAAACGCTGCGGCCAAGAAGACCTGTGGGGGTGGAGGGGAGTGTCTGCCCTCGTCTCCTCATCTCTTTAGTTCTTTCTCATATAGGTTTAGTAGACGTAGGGATATCTGTTTTATCAAAGACCTTATTCCGGGAAAGGTCACATCAAACGATATTAAAAAAACTTACTTTTCATCTATCTGTTTCTCAGTGGAATATAAATACATACCTACCCTCACTCACACCAAACACAGAGTATTTTATACAGTTGTCATAGTAACGATACGTTTCATACAGTTGTCATAGTAACGATACGTTTCATACAATTGTCATAGTAACGATACGTTTCATACAGTTGTCATAGTAACGATACGTTTTATACAGTTGTCATAGTAACGATACATTTTCGAAATCCTTAAGATAATATTCTTGTCCATTTGCAGGCCTCGTTGAACTGGGTTATCACACGGATAATCCATACCATAATGCTGTTCATGCAGCTGACGTAACCCAGGCGATGCATTGCTTCATCCAGGAGGAGATGGTAGGTATTATTGTGATGGTAGGTATTATTGTGATGGTAGGTTTTATTGTGATGGTAGGTATTATTGTGATGGTAGGTTTTATTGTGATGGTAGGTATTATTGTGATGGTAGGTATTATTGTGATGGTAGGTATTATTGTGATGGTAGGTATTATTGTGATGGTAGGTATTATTGTGATGGTAGGTATTATTGTGGTGATAGGTATTATTGT